TCCCCCTGTGGGAGCGCACTGACAACCAGGGGACAGCTCCTGCATAGAGCGTCTGCCTCCTGGTGGTCAGTGTGTGTCATAGCAACCAGTCATTCCCAGTCGTTCTGCTGTTAGGGTCAATTTGCATATTACCCTTTTATTATATAGGATAGAGGCCTGGTGCATAGGTGGGGGCCGACTGGTTTGCCCTGAAGGTTGTCCCGGATCAGGGTGGGAGTCCCGCTGGGGTGCCTGGCCAGCCTGGATGAGGGGCTGATGGCTGTTTGCAGCTGGTCAAGCCCCCCCCCATTGGGGACCCTCACTCCATGGAGGTTTGGCCAGCCTGGGTGAGGGGCTGATGGCTGTTTTCAGGCTGGCCACACCCCCTTTAGGGTGGGGTTCCCCACTGGGGTGCCTGGCCAGTCTGGGTGAGGGGCTGAGGGCCGTTTTCAGGCTTGCCAAGCCCCCTGGCGATGGAAGCTGGAAGCTCCCAGCCTCTCCTTTTTTTCTTTATTCTGGGATTTATTTACCTTCTATAATTGAAACTTTGTAGCCTTTTGCAGAGGCTACAGCCAGCCGTGGGAAGCTTGGCTTCCTCCATCACTGGAGCAACCAAGCCTCCTGCTGGCTCCAGCTCGGTGGCTGCCGGCCACCATCTTGGTTGGGTTAATTTGCATATAGTCGCTCTGATTGGCTGGTGGGCGTGGCTTAAGGCATAACGAATGTACAGTCAATTTACATGTTTGTCTTTTATTAGTGCATATAATATATATATCTCACGTTCAAAGGCTGTTAAATCGCATTGTTTACCCAGATCTTCAGAAAAAAATCACTTCTATTGTGGTAAACAACCTGCTTCCCTATTTATAATGGTCTGGCCCTCTAGCAACTTCAGCATGAAATTATAGCTAATTTGCCTGCAAAGGTCAGGTGGTCATAATAATCTGGCCACTCAGTGTATATTAAAATGGAAAGTGGTGTAAGACATCATTTATGATTCTCTTCATTTTATGTATTAAGGAATAAATCTGGAGAGGTCAAACTATTTATTTAATAGCTGTAAGGCCAAAGTACTGATGAAGTAATTTAGTGTTCCTTCCTCATATGCATGTGAGTGGGTCTAATTGACTATGAATGTGTTGTTCAGGCAATTTGTATTCTGATTGTATTGGGATGTAGTGTACAATGAAAGCACAGACTTTATTTATGTTTTTATTGATTTTAGAGGGAGAGGGTGGGGGGGGAGAGAAAGAGAGAGAGAGAAAGAGAGAGAGAGAAAGAGAGAAGAGAGAAGAGAGAAATATCTCCTGCATACCCCTCCTGGAGATTGAGTCTGCAACTTGGGTATGTGCCCCAACCAGGAATCAAGCTGATGTCCTCTTGGTATATGGGACAACACTCAACCCACTGTGCCACATCAACCACAGACTATATTATCACCCAGAGTCAGTTACACTCTGGGTCTGCCACATACCGGAAGAATAACTTGGGGATATTCCTTCACCTCTCTGATCCTTGCTGTTGTCCACATGTGGATTGAAAGGAAATTACATTTGGTCCTGCATGAAAGCAGAACCTGAATCTGGATCCTAAATGTCCTGCCACTGTCCTCCAAAGCTAAACCCTGTCTATTCTTTTTCTGTTCACGTATCCTTTGGATGTGAGTATTTTCTCAATGTGTAATTGAAATCTAGATCAGTTTCTTTTAATTTCAAATTAAAAGAATTCCATCAAATTTAAAGGCCTACTTCTTTGTGGCCTAGTGTGTGTAAGATCTCTATTAACCATTTTAAGGAATCTCTGAGTCATTGAATTCAGATTAACTTTATTCATCTCATTATTCAATCAGTGTGTGCTCTGTGCCAGGCATTGGGGATAACAGGTCAAGTCCATGATGACTGAAATATCGAATAATGAGATCATGCTAAGTACTAAGTAGGACCCACTTCTAAATTTGTGGAAAGGGGTGAGGGCCATATCTATATCAGCTTTTCAGTGTTTATAGTTGAGATAGTGGGATACATTTTTTAAATGTGAAAGACATCATTCAACCTGCTAATGCATACTTTAAACAACATGAAATTTTACTAAACCCCACAGAAATTGTATTAGTTTTATATAAGAAACCAAGATTTTAACTTTTCCTAGTAAGAAGAGAAGGCCAAGTATATAATGAAAAGCATATTTGCCCTGACTGGTTTGGCTCAGTGGATAGAGCGTCGGCTTGTGGACTGAAGGGTCCCAGGTTTGATTCTGGTCAAGGGCACCAAAAAAAAAAAAAAAAAGCATATTTATTGGACAATATCCAGCTTTTTGTTATTAAATATCATTTGTTATTTTCTGATTATAAAAGCAATATATGATCATTTGAATATCTTTTTAAGGAGCATATTATTTATATTATTTTTAGATTTTGAGATCATTCCCAGTTTTTATACCTTTGTAAATAAAGTTCTGAGAAATATTGATTCCCTTGAGTCTTTATTATTCACTTTGCTTATTAGTTCGTAAGGATAGTGAAATAACTGGCTTGGTCAAACGTATAAGGTATTTTTTGAACCGTGATATACATTTCCACATTACTTTAGGAAAAGACAGCATCACTTTACACTGCTACTCGTTACGTTAATCTTGCTTCAACCTGGAGCTTATTTGTCTTCAGCAGGTGTCGAGCTTTCCCATTGGTAGGGATGGAGCTCTGTACTGAATGAAGCTGGGTTGAATAACATTTTTGCACTTTAAACAACAAATGAAAAAGTGAAAATTGTAGTTTATTTCTCTTTTTTTCTAATTAAGCTTAATTTTGATAAAGTTTTAATATAAGGAGTCTGAAAGGGCCTGGGAACAGCCTGAATTGTAGAAAGGCCTGGACTGCTCTCCCAGGGCCACCTGGCTCTGCCTCCTCCCCTGAGAGCTGAGTGCCACACTTCTTCCAGTACGCTCACACAAATCATCAAAAGATTTGAAATCAGGTTTTGTTTTGTGTTTTTTGTATTTTTTTTTGAAATAAAAAGGCATTGCATCTTCTGTTAAATATTGATATAGTAGTTCATTGATTTCTCCCTTTAAATCTGTCTTTTGAGATGCAAATTAGATATGGTTAGTGAGGCAGGGGAGGTGTGTCCTCTTTCCTAGGAAAGTGGTCAAGTTGGAAGTTCTATCTGAGCAGGCATCTTACTGTTTTTCTCAAAAAGCCCGCATGGACAGTTTTTTTAAATCTAATTTGTATTTGACTTTGTAAAATTCTAAAGTAGCCTCTTGGTATATTTAGGACTTTCTCATAAGGAGCTTTATAAAGATTTTATCATCTAAAAAACTGCAGTTATATAGTTTAATTAAACATACTTGTTAAGCAAACTTGAGGATGTCTTATGATGAAATAAATTGTTGCAAAGCAAGTGGGTCTTGTGTGTAGAGCACCTATTGTATAGCAAGTCTCTTTAATGTATGTGCTCATTTTAAAAATTCAAATGTACTTGTTCTTAAAGATGTCCGGTATTTGTTTCGTTTGCTTTTGTTTTTATGTCCCCAAAGTACCTTGGAGTTTAGCCTTATTATTCTTTCAGAAAATATTCTTTTATTCTTATACATCAGAGACCTTGAATATTTCATTTACTTTTCAGAAAAGCTGTCAGTTGTAATCTGCAACTTAAAAAAAAAAACTAATAAAACAAATGCTCATTTCACAATTTAAACCTTATTGAGTCTAATTCACTGGCGCTGTGAGTTTATTTTTCTCCTGCAGTTTGACGTGCCTCAATTGTAATTGTGTTGACCCTTCAATGCATTAAATCTCCCCACTGCTTATCCGACTGGGAGAGATAAGTCTACAATTCGGAAATTCATTAAATGTCTCATTTATATTAAACAGATGATATCTTCTTATAGAAATCATAATTTGTTCAGGCAACGGAACTGCCACAGTGGGGTTTCATCTGTTTGGAAAATGCAGTCTCCTTCCAGCTTTGCTGTGTTGTGCTGGGCTGCCCTGCCTCCCAAGCACTCTCTGCCTCTGGCTGCAGCCAGCACCAAAACGTCCTAAGATATTGGTCCCCTGGGTGAACCTCAGAGCCCACATTGGGAGGAGTGTAGTTAAGTGTGCTTTGTTCCTCCTTGAAGCAGATTTGTTTCAAGGCCTTACTAACATAGGTTTTTTATTCATATTATCTTTATGGGGAATATGACTTACAAGGCACGGCTGTTTTAAAGAATGCCACATGTAATTTTATTCATAGTGATAGAAGTTAACTCATATGTTTTGCTTATTTAGGACATTGTATATGTTTGTGAAATACACATCTTTGCCTATTAGAATATTATTTGTATACTATTAAAGTGCTTTTCTCAGTTATTCACTGTCTCATGCTTAAGATTACAATCAGAGAATAGGATGATTATTCCTAATGTCTAGCAGAAGAAATTTAGGCTCAGTGTATTGTTCAAGACACATGAGCTGACAAGTGGTCTTTAAGTCTTATAGCATGAGTAGTAATTCTACCAGCACACACACAGACTGTAAGTGTAAAAGTTTCGTTTGCTTTTGTTTTTATGTCCCCAAAGTACCTTGGAGTTTAGCCTTATTATTCTTTCAGAAAATATTCTTTTATTCTTATACATCAGTTTACTTTCCAGCTTCCATTCTGATATTGCATGCCTTGTGCAAAGCAACATCTTATGAAAAACTTTGAATTAAATCTTTACAAATTGACTTCAAATAGATACTAACCGTCAAACTGAAAAACATAAGCAACAAGATAAGTTTTTTTAAAAAAGCTTTTAATATACATATTTTTCCTCTAGTGGTTGAAATCTGACAGAACTTAATGGGAGGCACAGTGTAAAGTGGCCCAGAAAGTTGGTCATTAGGCAGAGCTGCCATCACAAATTATTATGGTATATGGTGAAAAGTTATAGTTTATTTGGTACCCTGTTGGATGCAAGCCTTGGGCAAGTTGTTATAATATCCCCATGCTACTAACAGGCCTCTAGTCCTGACTCTCCCCTGTCCCCTTTCTCTACAGCTGAAGTCACCTGGGAGCCCCTCAGCACCTGAGCTGCCCATTGAAACTGTGTTGGATGATAGAGAACGAAGAATTTCCCATTCCCTCTACAGTGGGATTGAGAGGCTCGATGAATCCCCCACAAGAAATGCTGCACTCAGTAGGATAATGGGTGAGTCAGGTAAAGCTGTTTATCACATCTTATTTTTATGCTTTAACTGGTTCACACAGAGGTTATTAATGTAATATTAATGAAAAAGAGGGCCATGTTTTCAAGAGGAAAAGGGCAGGTTCATTATAATCACTCAGGAAGTGTTCAAGAGAGTAAATCAATACATTGCTTTTTTAACATGAGTTTTAGATCCTGTGATGTGGGAAGAAGAATAAAGGGATCCCATGGAAATGTTTCCCAGTGATCAAGGTGTTTTAGCTTGTTTGAGATAATAAATGAAGCCGTGTTTTTAAAAAGGTCAAAATTTAGTGATTTATGGCAAGGAGGCTTCGCAGTAGCGCTGTTCGGAGTGAGAGGAAAAATACGTATGTGTATATAAGATATTCACATTTATTTGGTTTGCATTTAATCGGAGAGTACCATTTTTTTTCTTGCATCTCTACTTTTTCAAAGCCTTCATTTTAATATTCTGAAACAAGGTTTTTGCATCCATTGTTTAGATTCAACACTGTGCTGTATGCATGGCCCACAGTGGGTAATGAGGTTGTGCACACTTGCTCTGTAGCAGTATAGCTTCTACTAACAGACCCAGTTAATAAAGACTTATTTTGCCACAGGACTGGTTGGATGTACTGAGTTGCTCATCTTGGTATTACCTTGGGAGTTTTCAAATTTAAAATACAGCAAGCTGTTTTGATTAAAATAGCAACTGACATAAAACACTTTTATTGCTGGTATATTTTGCTAATATAAAGTAAAACCCTAAATTTTACTCTATTTTGAGTACATTAAGTATGGTTTTAGTACATTTAAATTTTCCATCGTGAAGCTTCATTAGAAGAAGGATTTACTTCATTCATCAGTGGATGTTTATTGGCAAGACATTGTATATACACTTTTGTTATAGATACAAAGATGAATATAAACAATCTGTGCCTTCAAAGAACTTTCTGCTGCATGATAGGAAAAATACATAAACATGACTGCTAGAATTTTCTGTTGTTCTTTCTCTAATTCCTCTAGCTTTCTAGTTTAGAAAATTTGCTAAATTCTCATTTATTTTGTTACAAATAGAATTTAGACATGCCAATTGTAGTTTTATTTTGTCACCATTCTTCCTTTTCCATGGTTGGCATAAGTGAAAGCAGAGGAAGATGGTAAAGATATTGTGCACCTTTTAGGTGACAGGTATCTCATGTAATTATCACATTAATTTATCACTGCTGTTGGATTTTCCATACTTTCTTGGATTTGGTATAAAACTTTATCTTTGCTAAATACTTTTTTATTGATAAAAGTTCAGACCCCTTGAGAGAGAGAGTGCATGTGTGCCTGGATCTGTGTGCATACAAAGTGATATGCTGTAATTTCCCCTCTATTATAGGAACATAGGACTTGCCATACTGAATCAGACCATTGGTCCACCAGTTCCTGTAACCAGCGTCCTGCCTCCAATCCCTGATGCTTCAGAGGAAGGCGAAAAACTAAGCTAGAATACAAACCAAAAACCAAACAAAATTCACCTAGTAACCTTTTGAAATGCTGTATATTTGGGTTGAGGATTCCTTCATTTTCATTATAGTCTGTTGCCCTGATTTTGTTAGCTATGGATTCATTAGCTTGCTTACTTTTGCATTGTCATTGGCGTTGTTTTTCCTTCCCTCTGCTAGAGATGTAATGGACTTTTAAAACTCTATATGCTTCCCCCAAGGTAGTAACTTCCCTCCCAGCTCTGTGCTTTGTGACATACTGTGCATGCCCTTTGGGCTGGGAGGTGACAGACTCTTTACATTAGATGATAGGCCAATTGATGTTGAATGATTAGATATTTTCTTAAGACCATATTTTTACATGTTGTACTGGAATCTAGGGATCCCATATAGTTTTACCCTGAGAAATACATGTACTTAATGTGATTTATTTTTAGTTTTGAAAATCTGAGAATTCCTCAGTCTTTGTCAGCCCCTATTTCAATATCATTGGCCCTAAAACACAAATACACTTTAAGTCAGTTCCCCTTAAAGTTAGAAATCTTGCAAAAGATGTTACCTTACAACAAAACACCAAAACAGGATACCAAATATAAAATATTAGAGCACTGAATTTCTATTCATCTCCACCAATTTCTATTAATCTCCAATAGAATTTGTTGATTTGCATAGTATCTAGGTACATGGAAATTCCTCAGATCTTGCTTAGTAAATGCTTGTCTCCTATGCTTTTAGATTAACTCCTGTTAGACACCAGTGGAGGTGATGGTATTTACTTCATGATCAATTATGATTCAGTTAGAACTTGGTATTGAAATTCCAGCTGACTACATTAAGAAATGATTTATTTTATGCAAACAGGGTTAATTTTCACATAAAATATTTCTCACGTAGGCCTGACTCTAGACCAGAATGAGCTTTGAGACTTTCTGACTCATATCTATGGGAACATATCCTAGGAAAGAAGCTACTAAAAAATAGATTTAAAAAGGTAGAATTGTTAGAAATGGAAGGATGTCAGATGTCATCAGCTACACTTTCCCAATTAACAAATAAAGGAATGAAATCCCAAGATACCATTGTGATTTTTATTTTGTTTTTATTTATTTTCTGGGGAATACTGAGATCACACAATTTGTGACATTCATTCTTTATTCCCATCAATTTATAAGTACTCACATCTTTAAGCAAAAAGCATTAGACAGTCTCTAAAATCTATTCCATTTTGGCAACCACTGTGATTTAAACATCAAAGAAGTTAATCTTTTAAAACAATGTTAGAAATCATGAAGTCCAACATCCTTATGTTCTGTTCAAGGAATTATAGACCAAAGAAATTAAGTGACAAGCTGCAAAGTTTCTGTGCTACTGAACCAAAATGACGATGTATATTTTTGTGAGTCATGAGTCCCACATTACTCAAACCTGTTCCATCTCCCTAGCTTTTGATGGGGTCAGCCATATTTGCCACCAAAGGCAAGATGTCTCCAAACGTCATTCGTATTGGCTGACTTTCCACTATTGTGCATTTTAAAAGAGTCATCCTGAACTTTCATCACAAAGAAATCTGCAGTGAGCCTGCATAGGATTTCTTTATTTTAAAAGCCTTAAAAATATTTTACAAATTGTTAGACCAGCCTAACTAATTAATAATAACAGTACTAGGCATAGCTAATTTAACCAATATATTCATTTCATAAAGTTACAAGCTGACATGGGAGCATTGAACCTTAAATTTTTACAATGTCTTAATCTGAAGAATTTTTCTATCTAAAGTAAAACCGAAATCTGTTGTATCCATTTTAGAATTTAATCTTATTTTCACACATTTGTGGTGAGTTTAAAAAAATAATTATGTTAATATTATTTCATCTTGTTAGAAATTCAGTATAGAAAAATGGAACATTAATATTTTATTGTGAGTCAATCACTGGAAAAAATTTCCTCATTTCATCTGTTTTTAATATCATGTATGGCATTGCCTTCTATGTAAATGTGCCAATGAATAAATGTTTAGTAAACAATCATCCTGCATCTCATTGTTTCCCTCCTCTTCAGGATATTGACTGGTTGACATTTTAGTTTGTAGTTGTTAGTTAACTAGTTGAGGACAAGGGAATATTTATCCATCAAAAAATAGATCAAAGGCTTCTCAAGTCATCCTTCAAAGGTTTCACATTTATGATGTGCCAAGTACAGCAAGCGTAATTAAGAGGTATTGACTAGGTGGAGTTTGGTACAATGTGGCGTTAGATAATTTAGTCATCCATTACCCCCAATATATTTCTGGAGTCAGAGTCTAAAACTATATTCCTAGCAATCATGTTAAAAAGTAGAATATTGATGGAAAATATGAATTCTCAAATTTTTAAAGATATTAGCCTCCAGAATCATGGGTGAGACAAAATAGCCAAATTCTTATCTCACTATTAGGGAAATTTCTTGCCATTCATTTATGTATATTTTTTGGATCACTAAGGTACAATATTGCTACTAAAAATATCTTATGAAAAAGGATTGTCATCTGAAGAACCATTCAGTGTTCCATATTGCTTATTAGGCTGTCTCTCAGAATATATTGTCTAAACCCAAGAGTTTTAGTTGTGTTAAAAATGAGTGTACTGTAATTACACCATAATATTTCCTTCCAATGTATTTTGCCTGTGTGGGGTTTTGGCATTTAATGCTTTGATACATGCCTTGTCAATGGCAAGCTGTCAGGGAAAATTCAGGTTTTGCCATTCTGTACACTTTTGGGGGGAAAAGTATGTCTTGAGAAGGAAATATTTCTTTGGGGAATAGTGCTAGACTGTCTGACCTTATTTATGAATGATATTTTATTGAACAGATTTCTGTCTTTCTGCTAATATTCTAAAACTCTAGTGGGGATAAATGAGTGACTTGAATTCAGGAAAGGCAAACAATTAAGTACTAAATATGATTTACATTTTTATTATGAGTATTCATAAGAGGTTGCTAGTTTTTATAGTTTGTCAAAATGAATGCATTTCAAATCAAAGTAGAGTGTTTTTCTTAATAAAATGCTGAGTAGAACTTTTAGTGAACATGTAGTATTTCTATAATAGGGTAGTTTATGCTAAATAATGAATGCATCTGAAATTTCTAGCAAGGTTGCTTTTGTGGGTTATCCTGAAAAGATGTATATGTGATTTAATTTTTGCACCTTTGTTGAAATGTCCAGTGTCATTTATATTTTAGAAATCCTTAAAGATCATATATTTGTCATCCCAAAATTTCCATAATACTGTTAAAACAAAAATTATCATTTACTTTAAAATTTAAATCGTAAGATCAATGTTAAAATGTTAATAGAATTTCTACACATTGCTCTTGTGCTATTTTAAGCAATGCTTTATAATTCAGGAAAAGTGTACTCTCTGTAAAATGGTGGCTAATCAATTTTAATGGTAATAAGAACTAGTATAGCTAATTTAACAGATTTGGACATTGGAGTTAAAATGAGAGTTTTCTCATTCTCTTGTAAGGTGATAGGGAAATTGTCTATTTTCCTTGCTTTGTTGGAAAAGCCAGGCCAGTGGGTCCATATCATCCATGCTACAGATTTCTGTGTGCATGGCCTCCCACAAAGTATTCATGTGTATCAAAGCTTGGTTCACAGTTCTTTCTCATAATTATGGCAAAGGGTTTTGGTAGTTAGCCAGAAGAACAGTAGGCATTTTGGGGAGGAAAATGGCATCATTTGGACCCTAGCTTTGTCTTTAAGGATTTAGGGCCTGGAATCATAATTTTATCCTAAGAAATGCTGATCTGTGAACCTGAGCAGATTTTCCTGAGAAAACTGATCAGTGTAGACAGTTTTGGGTCTTTCCTTACCAAGAACACTATATCCTAATTGAATAAATCAAAACTATAGTCTCCCCTGTCTTGGGCTGAAAATCCCTGGGCAGTCAGATTCTTTTTTTTTTTTTAAATCCTTACCTGAGGATATTTTCCCATTGATTTTTAGGGAGAGTAGAAGGGAGAGGGAAAGACAGAGAGAAACATCCATGTGAGAGAAACACATCGAATGGTTGCCTCCTGCATGAGCCCCGACCAAGGCCCATGCTGGGGAGGAGCCTGCAACCAAGGTATTTGCCCTTGACCAGAATCGAACCCAGGACCCTTTGGTCCTCAGGTCTATGCTCTATCTGGGCCAAACCAGTTAGGGCTCAGATAAATCTTTACTTTTCAAGATCAATTGTGCCATCTTCCCCCAAAGCCTTGATTCTGCATGTGCTCATCTTTGAAGCATCACTTGAATGCACCATGGGCATTTCTGCTTCATGCATTGAATGATGATCCTGCCGATGAAAAAGACCTTATTAATCATTCAAAACCCAACTCTGATGTTAACTTTTGTTAAGATTCTGAGCATCCTCTGTCTCTAGTTACCCAGGCAGTAACAGCACTAGAGAATGGCACAGTACTTTTGGCACATCACTCATAGCACCAATCAGTTATCAACTTTTAAATGTCTATCTCCTTCTCTAGGGTTTGAACAATTTAGGGGCAGAAATTAAGTCTTTCTTACATACCTACTACATGAATGAATGGGTGAATGGTTGATGTCTGCAGGGCTTCCCTCTAAGTTTCCTGGTAAAAAATTTCAAAGGACTTTCATAATGTAGAAACTATGTAGCATTTTCACATTAGAAGACATTCTGGAGATCATCTCTGGCTTTATGAAACTTAAAACCAGAGAAATTGAGTACTCTGACCAAAGCTACATAGCTCTGGTGGAGAGGAAGGAATAAACTTGAGATCTCCATTTGACATTCATCTATGAAAAATAAATTGCCTTAATTAAATTTTGTTCTATCAGGTTGAACAGATGTTTGGAAATTTAGTTGTTTTTTTTTTCTGATGTAGCAAAGTATTAATGCACATTAACACTTAACACGAGTCTAGAATTTCTTTTTTTTTTTTTTTTACTGGACAGGTAAATACCAGCTGTCCCCCACAGTGAATATGCCCCAAGATGATACTGTCATTATAGAAGATGACAGGGTACCAGTGCTTCCTCCACATCTCTCCGACCAGTCATCTTCCAGCTCTCATGATGATGTGGGCTTCGTGACAACAGACCCTGGCCCCTGGGCTAAGGCTGCAATCAGTGATTCAGCAGACTGGTAAGTTCACACTCCACGGAATAGAAGACATTAGTGAATTACAGTCACAGTTTATCTGTGTTTTTAAAAGCCCTATCACTGAGCACAGTTAATCTTTTTTTTTTTTATAGCAGTGTTCTGTTTTCATGGTTTGAATACTCTTATTAATTATCAATCTTTTAATAAAAAATTTTCTCAAAGCCTATAAACTTGCCCAATTGTTTTAGCCTTTGCAGGGCTATATAATAATTTAGCCAAAATAGTAACAAAACTACCACTAACCAGAAAACCCTATTCATTTGTTAATTTACTATTTATTATTTTTTATCAGTGTCAATTTGATGAATTGTTTTTCTATTAAGTAAATAAATTTTAAGCAAATCTCTAAGGTAACTCAAAATTTGTCATAATTAGATGACTTTGGCCAAATTAATAGTTGACATGTTCTGAGAATGGGAAGATTTATTTTAAGAGTGCTGTAGCTATACTATTTATTTTTCATGGGCTTTTATTTTTCTTTCTAATTGAATTTATTGTTGTGACATTGGTTTACAAAACCATACAGGTTTCAAGTGTACAACTCAATAAAACATCATCTGCTCACTGCATCGTGCACCCACCACCTTTTGCCCACCTCCACCCCCACTTCCCACTGGCTGTTCCCACTGTTGTCTGTGTCTATGTATATATATTTTTTGGCTAATCCCTTCACCTTCTTTCATCCATTCCCCCATCTTGCTTGTAGCATTGTGACTTTGGGGCAGTCTGATGCTATTTTTTTCTCCTATATCTTTCAAAATTGAAGTAAGCTTTTGATATTATTGAGCGAATGTGTGGTCCATGAATGTGGATTTGGGTTTTAATTTGCATGCCTAGCAATTATATAAATCAATAAACAATAGGAAAGTGCTGCTTCTCGATGACCTTGTAAGATAGTAGTGATAATTAACACAAACTGTGTGAAGCATTATACCAGAATTTTCTCATTGCCCTTTCTCTGGGATCTTTATGGAATACGTCAGCAAAATTATATTTTAATATTATAGTATCATTCCTTCACCACTTAACCATTTCTGTTTCCTCCTCTTCCTCAGACTTGCATCAACATTAAATATTAGATAGGAGGAGTCCTGGTGACTGGCATTTATTTGTGTTAACATTTTAGTGATGACCTTAACAAAATGAACGACCCCCACAGTCCTCTTCCCCCATTCCTCTCATGAGCTCATGAAAACACAGCCGGGTCATGGGTTAGTTCTCCGTGGGTCAGTGTTCTTTGAGAACAATCTCACCTTATATTTGCACCCTTGAAAAGTCCATATCTATCTTTTTTCCTTCCCTCCCCTCCCTTCTCCTCCCCTCCCCTTCCCTCCTCCTCCTCCTCCTCCTCCTCTTCTTCTTCTTCTTCTTTCTCTCTCTCCTCTCCTCCCCTCCCCTCCCCTCCCCTCCCCTCCCCTCCCCTCCCCTCCCCTCCTCTTATTGAAACACAGGATTTAAAAACAGACCTCCACCCCAGCCAGTGTGTCTCAGCAGCTGAGCATCGACCAAGAGGTTGCTGGTTCAATTCCTCCATCAGGGCACATGCCCAGGTTGCTGTCTAGATTCCCAGTAGGGGGCATGCAGGAGGCAGCTGATCAATGATTCTCATCATTGATGTTTCTGTCTCTCCTATCCCTCTCCCTTCCTCTCTTTAAAGAAAAAAAAAATCAATAAAAATAGACCTCGAATCGAGCCCCCATGATAATAACTTACCTGAATGTGTTTTTTGGTTCAACTTGGAGGGGAAGTTCCAGTGTAAAGTAAACTCCCATTTGAACTCCACAGATGCCTTTACATTTGCTGCTGCAGATTTTATCTTTCTGAAGTGAGAGCAACAACAGGGAAAAGCATTCATCTTAGGGACAAAAGCCTTTGAATCTCCACCATGATGAGAAATTGTGAAGGTGGCAGAGGAATAGATCCATGGGGGGCTTTGTGTTGGTGAAAGTAAATAAATAACTAGCAGGGATTAATTGTGGCATTATCTTCCCTAAAGGGATTCCTGAAATGGCAAGGACTTGTATGATTTTTCTGTGGGGAAAGGGGGGCAAGGAAAACAATATGAATAAAGGGTTATCTAAACAAGAATGGCAGCTGTTCTGAATCACAGCAGAAAATGTAAGCTTTCAGCCAGACAGTATCTCCCTAATCCTTGATGAAAATGTTATGAAAACAAAAGGGAAATAAGACAGGATTAATAACTGGAATTTTAATAACATTGGGGGTCAGGATATGGTTACATTCTTTAAAGAGTCAGCTGTTAGTCCTGAAATCTAACTTGTTAAGTATTCTACTGTACTGTTTATTGTGTCTGAAAGTAGTTAAATGGGTCTATTGATAGGGAAGAATTAATATGTCATGGTTTAAGAATATTTAGTTATATTAAGACTCATTAATTCACCAACTCATTTGACATTTTAAATTGTGTGTGTTTACAGTTCACTGTACTGGAAGGATAAATATGTCAAATGGCTAAAATTTTAATTTGTTAACTAATAGAATATACTTTTTTCAATCCATTAGTTGATTTAGGGAACATTAACAATGGTTTATGGGGAAAACAGGACATTCTAATTTTAATGACAACATAACTTTAGAGGATATAAAATTAGTTTATGAAATATGATAATATGTAGTTTTCAAATAACATTAGCAATAACAATTTGTATTTCTTTGAAAAATTTTTTACTAGTAATTTTATTAAAATTGTATTTCAAATTCATTCTGTTCACCAATTTGATACCTTATTGGAGTTCAGGTTTTAAAATATTCCACATGATACTAAAACAAACAAACATATGCAGAATGGTTGAAGAGATCAACTTTCAACATATAAAAAGTAATTTTATTGAAAATGTACTATTTAGAGTTTTTCATTACTGATTGGATTTTAATTATCATATGGGTTTTAATTTTTCACTTCTAGGACTGTGTAATTAAGTTGGGATGTATGTGCTATGGAAATTGTAAGCATAGTAGTATCAGAATACTACTATGTAAGCATAACATGCAAGCATATATATTTATGAAATATGCATAAATAATATACAATTATATATCTAATGCTCACTATTGCTGTACATACCTACATACACCATACAATTGACCCTTGAACATCATGGGTCCACTTAACATAGTTGTTTTTTTTTTTTTCAATAAATACTGTACTGTTTTCCATCTGTGATCAGGAGTCTGCAGATATGGAGGGCTGACAATATGATCGCTGTACACCATTTTATATTGAGAAGTTGAGTATCCATGGATTTTTGGTACTTGTGGAGCGTCCTGGAACCAATCTTTATGAATACTGAGGGACAACTTAAGTTTTGGGGGATTCAAAAATTACATATGGATGTTTGACTGCTAGGTGGGGTTGGCTCCAGTAACCCCAGTGTTGTTCAAATATCAGCTGCCTGTAAGCATCCTTGGATGTGAATGGGCACATAAGGCTTCAAGATAAAAAAATTTATTCAAAGTTTTATAGGAAAATATGATATGTTAAAAATGGAAAGAGTGTAGAATGTAAACAAAATAACTTTATTAGGGCATATATATGATGGTGTTTTACAAAACAAAAACAAAAATACATTGTTATTGCCTTGGGCTCACCTCCCAGTCTCTGTGGGTATGTCCTTTTTCAGTACCTGGGCCAGGACTAGGGTGAGCCAAGGTAGTTGCCCAGGGTTCAAAATGTAAGGAGGCACTCACTCGCAGGTTCCAACCCTAAATTTGCATGGCCCTGAGATTGAGTGCTGCCTTAAATTCAGAGCCCTAGGCACTTACCTTGCCTCATTCTAGGGGCCTGCTTTGTATTTGGTGGAAAAGATTGAGAAAGAGTATTCCTTTGTGTGGTTTTTAAGGATCCTATTTCTATTATCATATTTTGTATTATCTTTATAATTTGAGAAAGTCTTTGTTGGGCAATAATAAGTTATTTTGTATAGCGTTTTGCAGTTTACAAAGGGCTTTCACCTATGTCATTGAATTCTTTCATGGGCCTTGTGAGATGGATGAAGCAACTAGTATTCTCACATGTGGGCAATACATTTCAGTTCACTTAGCCTGACATCAGAGCATTTTCCTTGATGTCTTCCTTTTCATCAGTTTTGGTTTAGCTACTCTGTAAGAGCCAGTTATTTTATGCTCAGTAAGTTGTAACTTAATTTCTGATACATATCCAAACTAGATCACTATCCTTTTCCCAATATGGAGGATAATTCTCAAAAAAGGCTCATGAAGCTTGCTTCTGTCAGGAGCATAAAGAAGGTTGTCATAAACCCAGCTGACATAGTGGAAGTGACCCCCTCACATTCCAGTAGATTAGTTAACTGGGGAGGTACATTCTGCTACCTGGTCAGATAGGTAAGGTGGCACAGCACTGACATAGGAAAGCTATTTATTTTCTCGGTGTATCCAGAGGAAAATGATTTTCATTGTATGCGCTGTGCTCAGAAAACCTGAGATGCTTTTTAAAGTCTTTACAAGTTTTTACAAATAGGAGTGATTTCCTATCATCCCTGCCACTTCCATTGGGAAAACACATCAAACTGTATCCTGTTCCAATGGTTTGCCATATACTTCATCATCTCTGCTTCAGCCACTGTGTTGGTATGACCATATCAAATATCATCTAGTCTAAGTCATGCTTTTCCTGACTTCCTCAAATACTGTTTATTCTCTCATCTATGCAGCCACAGCTTCTGCTATATACTTCTGGTTTGGTATTTTTCTTAGGAACTCAGAGATCAGAGATATTTTTCTTTTTAAAAAAAATATATTTTTATTGATTTCAGAGAGGAAGGGAGAGAGAGAGATTGAAATATCAATGATGAGAGAGAATCACTGATCAGCTGCCTCCTGCATGCCCCACACTGGGGGTCGAGCCTGCAAGCCGGGCATGTGCCCTGACTGCGAATCGAACCATGACCTCCTGGTTCATAGGTCAACGCTCAACCACTGAGCCACGCTGGCGAGGCGAGATCAGAGATCTTTTAACTTTTGTACCCAGCAGGATGCCTTAATCAGAATAGGTTCTAATAAAGATTGTTGAGTTGACCTCAGTTTGATTAAGTATTGCAGAGAAACTACATCCTTATGAAACTACATGCCATAAGGTGCTTTTTTTTCTTTTCTGTTACCCCAGATAAAGGATATATAAGAAGACCAGAATACATATATCTTTTTTAAAACTTCTATTCATTTTCAATTTATATAGTTACTTGTTTGCTGCCAATATTTGTATTAATATATGAAAAGTTTCCTGAAATTTTCAATCATTTTAATGTCTAAAAGATATAAGGCTTATTTTTGATAATCACTTAAAAATAATAATGTATTGTCAAGTAGAGTGAGGAAAATGTCAGAGGGAAGTAGAAGAGGAGAGAACTCACATGGAGAACTCACATTAATAAATGTAAATTAATGTTGTATTTTCCTATTACTATACAGCCACAGTTTTTTTAAAAAATGTATTGTATTTGTGTAATTTAGTTTAAATATTTTTGAGGAATATACATATGTACACACTCATACACACAGGTATATATGAACTTTCCTAAATTGAATGTCTTCTATTTTTAGTAAATATGTTTATGTTTTTCTTTCTTTTCACACCAGCTCTTTGAGTCCAGATGTTGATCCAGTTCTTGCTTTTCAACGAGAAGGATTTGGACGCCAGAGTATGTCAGAAAAACGCACAAAGCAATTTTCAGATGCCAGTCAATTGGATATCGTTAAAACACGAAAATCAAAAAGCATGGATTTAGGTAGTGAGTACAGTCTCCATGAATCTTTATCTAAATAGATGCTTTCATATTAAAATTGATGGTCCCAAATACATGTTGTTTACTTGGAGCAATAGAGAAAATAAATGTGAAATGTGATAATTTGGCAAAAATTAATTTTTCTCTGAGTTTGAGATAAAAATATTTCTAATAAATGGCATGTTTATATAATGTGCAATATGTTAATATTTATGTTTTCTGATGAGAAAAGAAACAAACACATGTGCATATCATACATGAAAAGATATATTCATGTATCTTTATTTGAAGCAATGAAATGTTTTAACACTGGCTGTTTAAAACCAATTTCATTGAAATAATATTTGTTTGGTTTTGGCATTCTGAACTAAAAGAAAAAAGTTTTGGAGAAAAATCATTATCTCAATCCATGTCTAGAATTTGGGTACTTCATATTTTCCTTTTAATGCTATTCTTTAAGGTTTATTTAATAGAAACTCTCATGTGTTGATAAGAAAGGCATTTAATTGAATAATAATTTGAGAGATTATTGTAGAAAGTATTTGAAGCAAATGAGAGCAGGAAAATAACCATAGTTATTCAATCAAACACCAATCAGGTAGTGTCTCTTTTTAAATTCTAATCTACCAAAACAAACAAACAAACAAACAAATAAATAAAATAATCATGCCTGTAAACTGATTGAATGATTTTTAAACCCTTTTTTAATCAACTGTAACTTATTTATGCTGTTCCTTGGTGGCTTTTTATACTTCAAGACTAAAAGCATTAATTTAAATTAATTAAATTTTACATGCATAAAAGAAAAATTTGGCAATACATTGCTTTGGCTAATTATGATATGCTAACATAAATAACATTACATGTCTGTGAAATGAAATGACTGGCATATTGCATGGAGACACTGCTTCCCCCCGCCCTTTTGATTATATATATATTTGCTTGAGTTTTCATATTATTTGCATGAAATATTACCTAAGAATTATCACATAACTGAAAAGATCTGGGAATGGTTGAAGCATGTTGGGCTGTGGGACTAACTGGGCTAACCATTATACATTTACCTTTTAACAGTAGCTGACGAGACTAAACTCAGTACAGTGGATGACCAGAAAGCAGGTAAGAATGGACCATTAAACTGTTGCCATAGAAACTGTGGTCCAAGGAGCTTATCATAATTATAGAGCTGCCAATCATATTGTATGTACACATAAATATTTCAGTCTTGCATGGATGTTTTCATTGTAGGAAATCAAATTATACAAGAAGAAAAAGTTTCTGTTAGGAGAAATTTATCAGTGTAGTACATCTAAATGGAAATGTAAGTTAGTGCTTCAAAAATGCTTAAACAATCTAGATTTTTTAAATTATATTTGTGTAAGAATATGTTTTGTAACAATTTAAGAAAAATCAAAATCCTGAAGACATGATCTCTTGGGTAGATTCTTGTTTTTAAGTTATTTCTTTTGCCTAGATTAACATCCAAGAAGTATTTTCAAAGTGGTGACTTTTATTTGAAGGGTAATAATAGCACAAGTATAAATATTTGTCATTGAAGGACAATGTCTAGTAATTGCTATCATTATTCACTCAGAAAACCTTTTTTTTTCTAATGCAAGAATTAGCTCATAGTTACCTGACATTGAAATTAGACTGTATGCCGAAACCGGTTTGGCTCAGTGGATAGAGCGTCGGCCTGCGGACTCAAGGGTCCTGGGTTCGATTCCGGTCAAGGGCATGTACCTGGGTTGCGGGCACATCCCCAGTGGGAGATGTGCAGGAGGCAGCTGATCGATGTTTCTCTCTCATCGATGTTTCTAACTCTCTATCTCTCTCCCTTCCTCTCTGTAAAAAATCAATAAAATATATTAAAAAAAAAAAAAGAAATTAGACTGTATAATGTATATTGCTCCTTATCTTAACTTTGTGAACCTGTTTAAAAGTTTTTGTGCTCTAGCCGGTTTGGCTCAGTGGATAGAGCTTTGGCCTGCAGACCAAAGGGTCCCAGGTGTGATTCTGGTCACATGATTGTAGGCTCCTCCCCGGCCCAGGCCCTGGTTATGGTGCATACAGGAAGCAACCAATCAGTGTTTCTCTCTGTCTTTCCCTCTCTCTTCCACTCTCTCTAAAAATCAATGGAAAAATATCCTCAGGTGAGGATTAATCCTATATAATAAAGAGGTAATAACATCCCCCAAGGGGTCCCAGATTGGAGAGGGTGCAGGCTGGGCTGAGGAAACCCCCCCCCCCCCAAGTGCATGAATTTCGTGCACTGGGCCTCTAGTAAATAAATAAATAAAATAATAAATGTTTTTGTTGTTGTTTTGTTTTGTTAACTATTTAGGATAACTTCAAAATGCTGTCTAAATTATTCCATAGAAACAATTGGTTATATTGAACTGGGATTTTGCATTATAGTATATTTTACTTTTTATGTTATTTTATGAAAATAATAAAAGGAAAGTTTTTATTTACAATTAAAGTAATGTGCTTTGTACAATTGAGAATAGTGTTTTAATTATTTTAGGTCCAGTATGATGTAGCAATTATACCACTTACCACTAATTAGGTTCAATTCACCTTTTTAAACCTATAGTAGTAATTGGTTTGAAAATGTGTATCCCACATATATATGTAAAGATGATTGTGAATTGGAGTTTTCACAATCTGTAGATTAAAAGATAGATTGTAAAAATTATATCCAATAAATCATGGATTCACTGTAGTGCAAAGCAATTGACTATAGCCTCAGCTGTTAGTAAGTAGTTTTTTCTCTTATCAAACAAAATTCATTTAAATTTTGAACTAAGGTGAAAGAAAATCATTTTTGATAGTTTCCATATGTAAAATAATTTTTAGTTTTTGGAGATATTATTTTATAGTGTTTTTAGGAAGTAACTTCTGTCCAAATTAATGTTCATAAAAACCAAAGTGAAAAAATTCAATAAAGAATATGAATTTTTACATTATGACAATTAGGTAAAGTAAAGGAAAATACTTAATTTAAACAACTCACTACTACTAAAAAAGAATAGAACAATTCATTGTGATTAAAATATAATGATATTCAGATTTTAACTGGAAACATTAAATAACTTTCATGGTGAGAAGTGAAATTTTATCACCTTAATTGAATCATGTTTATAGTGTTTTAACATCCTAGATATAAAGAGCTTTTTTTCTCTTTATTTACTACTAGAGGCCCGGTGCACAAAAATTTGTGCACTCGGGGGGGGGGGGGGTCCTTCAGCCCGGCCTGTGCCCATTCACAGTCCAGGACCCCTTGGGGGATGTCCACCTGTCAACTTAGGCCCACTCCCCAGGGGATCAGGCCTAAGCTTGCAGTCAGACATCCTTCTGGCAGCCAGGGAGCCCTCGGGGGATGTACAACTAAAGGCTTAGGCCCCCAAGGGATCAGGTCTAAACCGTTAGTTGGACATTCTTAGTGCTGGATGGAGGTGGGAGAAGCTCCTTCCACCACCATTGCGCTGGCCAGCCATGAGCCAGCTTCTGGCTGAGTGGCACTCCCCATATGGAAGTGCACTGACCACCAGGGGGCAGCTCCTGCATTGAGCGTCTGCCCCCTGGTGGCCAGTGCGCATCATAGCAACTGGTCATTCTGCCGTTCAGTCAATGTGCATATTAGCCTTTTATTATTATTATGTAGGATGTGCAGACCATCCTACAAATTAAATTGGAAAAACTTGGGCTGGGGCAAAAAATAAAATTATTATATAGACAACAAATTTTCAGTTATTTTTCTCATTTCACTTCACTTGAATTTTTAAGATTATCATGATTTTATAGTTTAGTCCAGAGTTTTTTGGTAGAGTCATAGTGGCATTTTTAGCATAGATTGTCTGTCTAGCCATAAGCCTTTTATAATGAAAACTAAATTCCATTTCTCTTTGCCCGTGCAAAAGACATTCTATACTTGTTCTTCAGCAAGAGGGGCAGGAATAGAAAACGAGACCTAGGGAAAACAGTGTGATTATTATTTTCATTTAGTTCATGGAATTACGGGTTTTGTGATATTTGGGAGGTAAATTTACTTTTTAAAAGAAAAGAGAGGACAGGAATTAGAAGATAATTGGGTTGCTAACAGTTTAATCCTTGAATAGAAAAAATAAAGTATCCTAACGGACTAAAAGATTTATATAAGGAGCTTTAAATATTATTTAAAAACGAAAAGATAATTGATTTTTTTGTGTTTTGTAAATACCACTAATTCTTTGCCCATACTTTAATAAGAAACAAATTTTCAATTTTCCTTACTAGTAAATGTGGAATTTTTAATATTAGGGATCTCACTAACCCTCATCCAGGAATTTAAACACATTAGTTAACTAAACCTTTGTTAAAGTTTCTTTGACAAATATAATACTTAGGTGAATAATAACAATTTTACAGATCAAGAATCAGCAAGCTCTTTCTGTAAAAGACCAGATAGTAAATATTTACAGAGGCCATTATAGCAGTTACTTAATTCTGATGTAACATAAAGCAGCTATAAAATATATGTAAACAAACAGGCAAGGTTTGTTTCAAAATTTTTTTCCAGATTTGGCCCCAGATCTACTGATCCCTGTTATAGATTCACAAATTATAGATGCTTTGTTTTTATAATATTTTATTGTGAAAATATTTAACCATATATTAATATAGAGACAGTAGTTCATTGATCTGTCATATATCCCATACACACCATTGATAATTATCAACATTTTGTTAAAATGTTATTCTACAGTATAACCTCTGATTTACACTTACAAAATATCTATTGCTTGTTTAGTTATACTTTGTTTTGCTTCCCAGATTTGCCTGCATTTATGTATTTTTTAAATTTATTTTTTGTTAACTATCACCCAAGGATATTTCTTCCAAGTTTTTATTTTTTATTTATTTTCTTTTTTAAATTTATCTTTATTGTTGAAAGTATTACAGATGTCCCCTTTGTTTTCTTTTCCCATTGACCCTCTCAACCCCACACCAGCCCCTCCCAGGCCTTCACTACACAATTGTCTGTGTCCATGGGCTATGCATACATGCATATAAGTTCCCCAGTTAATCTCTCCCCCCATCCACACCTTCCCTCTGAAGTTTTTGTCTGTTCTATGCTTGTATGTTGCTGGATCTATAAATGTTCATCAGTTTATTTTGTGCATTTTTTGAAGCCAAGAAATCACCAAATATTTGCTTTATTCATTTTGGTTCCTTGATTTCTTAATTTTTTGTTCAGTTACTTGGAACAAAATTTGTTTCCATCCTGTGACATAGCTTTTATGGGTATTTAGAACACAAACTTGTCAAAAGTTATACTAATGTTATCAAGAGAAAAAGTATTATTGATCATTCCGGAAAGAAATAGTTTATGTGAATTTTTGTCATAAAATAATCTATATATATATGCAAACCTACATTGAGAAAGTTAAATAAATCATCTTTTTCTTCCCAGGCACAATAATTATGGGATAATATTTCTTCATTGGAATCATCTGTCTGTCTTTTTGCCTGTTACATTTTTAACATATTTAAACTTAAAATTGCCATCTCTTTGTGAAAATTAAGTGAAGATGTAATGTAAATGAATCTTAAAAAGATAATTCTTGTTTTGACTCTCTGAATTTAATTTTTACTCAGCTTTACACTCTGAGCCATAAAAAGCCTATGTCATCACCATATGTCTTTTAGTAATACCTTACCAAAGCTACTCCTGAATTATTAATCAATCGAGAGTCTGATGACCCATGTAGAGACAAACTAGTCTCTCCCACCTGCCCATTTGTTTGCATGAGTTTTTCTAATCATGTACGTGAAGAACTAATTTGTAACTTGGATTTCCCAGGTGGTAGTACAAAGCAGGTACTTCAGTAATCTAGAGCCTAAATTTATCTACTTTTAAGCCCCAGGTTAGACAGTGATGGATGACACTTGCTTACCTAGTTAAAGAAATCTGTTTTGATTGCCTCCTAAAGCATGGTGCTCTTGGTGTTATCTCAGGCCTTTCTGCCCTCGATCTCAAGAAATAGGGTCAAATTGTGAATTCTCTGAGTTCTTCCCTCCATCTTACTGAAAAGTTTTTTGGTAATTGGTTAGCACTTATTTCTCGAGGAGATATTATTTCCAGGCCTGGAAGTCTTAACTCCTCATGTCAGCTCTTCAGTCTCTCCTTTGTTACCTCTATCTAGGGAGAGCCCTTATGTAATTTGTTTCTGTTCAAGTCTTGTATTGATTCTTTCCATGGAATGTTAATACTGCCCAGAACGAGGTTTCAGCCTGGTGTCAGGGTGCCCTAATGGTATCGGTGACATGTAGTCTTTTGTGCTCTCTTTAAGTATGAGTTGTGAACATGCACTGTACTTGATGGAGCTCATTGATATGAAAGTGTAACTTCTGTTAAAAATTCGAAATATATTTCCAAATTTTGAACTATCAAAAACTAATTTCAATGAAGTTAAAAAGAGTACTCTTGGTTGCTTACCTCAGCCTTCTCATTATTTGTGCTCTACTAGTGAGCCTTTGGGTTATTCTGGTTCTTTTAGATTATTTATATAACTAGGAGCAGATGATTTAACAAAAATTTCACTTGGGCTAAAAATGGAAATTAATAACTTAAAGCTTAAAGTTTTACCTCATGAAAATAAAGAAAATAGACAAAATTTAATATATATTTGGGAAAAATAAAAATGACTTAATTTTTTCCTTAATTTATAAATGTTCAGGAAGATAAATTCCACCACTAATTCTAATTAACATTTTATTTTTGTAACCCTCCAAGGTTCCCCCAGCAGAGATGTGGGACCTTCCCTAGGTCTGAAGAAGTCAAGCTCATTAGAAAGTCTTCAGACAGCAGTTGCTGAGGTGACTTTGAATGGGGATATTCCTTTCCATCGCCCACGACCTCGGATAATCAGAGGAAGGGGGTGCAATGAGAGCTTCAGAGCTGCCATTGACAAGTCTTACGATAAACCCACAGTGGATGATGATGATGAAGGCATGGAGACATGTAAGTTTATAATGTAAGAAAGAAAAGCAGTTGCAAATAGCTCGATAAAGCAGCAGTTTTTTAAAGTGTACCTCAGGGAACCCTGGGGTTCACAGTACCCTTCACAGGGAGGTCTAAACTACTTTCATAATAAGAAGTTATCTTTTTATTTATTTATTATTTTTTTATATTTTATTGATTTTTCACAGAGAGAAAGGGAGAGAGATAGAGAGTCAGAAACATCGATGAGAGAGAAACATCGATCAGCTGCCTCCTGCACACTCCCCACTGGGGATGTGCCCGCAACCAAGGTACATGCCCCTGACCAGAATCGAACCTGGGACCCTTCAGTCCACAGGCTGATGCTCTATCCACTGAGCCAAACCGGCCAGGGCAATCTTTTTATTCTTATTCTCTCACAACTATACAGTGGGGTTTTCTAGAGGCAACATGTCATGTGACATTGTGGTAGAATGAATGCACATCAGATAGAAAAATCTTGTCTTTTCAGCCAGGTTTTAATGAGATTTGCTAAAATATAAAACAGTGCCACTGTTCTCACTATTATTTTTGGAAAAAGAGGTATTTTTTGTAAAAATATAATTTCTGTTAACATGAAATTTTATTTTTATAAAGTAATTAGTATTTTTAAGCTTTCTGTTTTAATTCAGTCAATATTGATAATACATAATATTTTTATTTTGACTTCTTAATAATTTTTAGGATCATAAAGGTATATTGAGACCAAAATGTTTGAAAACCACTGCAACAGAGTATATGTATAATGTGATGTCTTCAATGACTATATTAATAATCTATGATTTTAAAAACATTTTTGTTTTATTTTTATGAATTTCCCATGCTTTCCTTGAACTAAACTAGCAAGATATTTTTATGAGTGTGTATTTCCAAATCGCAAAGTATTTTAAGCCAAGACAATTAAAAGTCAAAGGTTAATATGAATGAGCAATATGTTTTCCATCATATATTGAGAAAAAATTAACATTTATAAATATGTACAATCGTATGCCTCAGGGAGTTATCAAACATTTATGGTATAAATATAACCATTCAATTTAAAAGTAAGAGAAGAACTCTACTAGTTTACATAGAAGAGAAAGGGCTTAGGAGTTTTAATAGTAAAAACTATTGATTAGCTTATACTGTTCATAACTACTAATTTACATTGTAAGAAAAGTTGGAGACACCACATCTTGAAGGTAAAGCAAAGACCAGAGATAATTCAAGTGGATTGCAAACTACTTACAATTTAATGTTTGGATGGAATTCATTCTCATACATATATAAGGAAAATTGTGGTGAGGAGGAAGAGTTTTTTGTTTTGTTTTTTAATTTAAATTCTTTATTGTTTAAAGTATTATATGAGTCTCCTTTTTCCTCCATTGACCTCTCCCCCGCCACTCCCACCTATAAGCACAAGCCCTCACCCCGCCCCCCCCTACTGTCTGTGTCCATTGGTTTTGCTCATATGCATGCATGTAAGTACTTTGGTTGATCTCTTACCCCCTCATCCCCCAGCCTTCCCTCAGGTTGGACAGTCTGTTCGATGCTTCTGTGTCTCTGGTTCTATTTTTTTTCATCAGTTTATATTGTTCATTATATTCCACAAATGAGTGAGATCATGTGATATTCATCTTTCTCTGACTGGCTTATTTCACTTAGCATAATGCTCTCCAGTTCCATCCATGCTGTTGCAAATGGTAAGAATTCCTTCTTTTTTACAGCAGCGTAGTATTCCATTATGTAGATGTACCACAGTTTTCTAATCCACTCATCTGCTGATGGACACTTAGGCTGTTTCCAAATCTTAGCTATTGTAAATTGTGCTGCTATGAACATAGGGGTGCATATATCCTTTCTGACTGGTGTTTCTGGTTTCTTGGGATATATTCCTAGAAGTGGGATCAATAGGTAAAATGGGAGTTCCATTTTTAATTTTTTGAGGAAATGCCATACTGTTTTCCACAGTGGCTGCACCAGTCTGCATTCCCACCAGCAGTGCACGAGTGTTCCTTTTTCTCCACATCCTCTCCAGCACTTGTCGTTTGTTGATTTGTTGATGATAGCCATTCTGACAGGTGTGAGATGGTACCTCATTGTTTTGATTTGCATCTCTCGGATGATCAGTGACTTTGAACATGTTTTCGTATGTCTCTTTGCTTTCTGTATGTCTTCTTTCAAAAAGTATCTATTTAGGTCCTTTGCCCATTTTTTGATTGGGTTGTTTCTCTTCCTTTTGTTAAGTTGTATGAATTCCCTATAAATTTTGGAGATTAAACCCTTATCAAAGATAACATTGGCAAATATGTTCTCCCATGCAGTGGGTTTTCTTGTTGTTTTGTTGATGGTTTCTTTTGCTGTGCAGAGCTTTTTATTTTGATGTAGTCCCATTTGTTTAGTTTCTCCTTTGTTTCCATTGCCCTAGGAGCTGTATCAGTAAAAATATTGCTACAACATATGTCTGCTATTTTGCAGCCTGTGGAGTCTTCCAAGATTTTTATGGTTTCCCTTTATCCATTTTGAGTTTATTTTTGTGTATGGTGTAAGTTGGTGGTCTAGTTTCTTTTTTTGCAAGTATCTGTCCAATTTTCTCAACACCATTTATTAAAGAGACTGTCTTGACTCCATTGTATGCTCTTGCCTTCTTTGTCAAATATTAATTGAGCATAATGGCTTAGGTTGGGTTCTGGGTTCTCTGTTCTGTTCTGTTCCACTGGTCTGTATGTCTGTTCTTGTGCCAGTACCGGGCAGTTTTGAGAACAGTCGCTTTGTAATATAGCTTGATATCTGGTATTATGATCCCTCCAACTTTGTTCTTCTTTCTCAGTATTGCTGCAGCTATTCGGGGTCTTTTTTTACTCCAGATGAATTTTTGGAGAGTTTGTTCTGGGTCTTTGAAATATGCCATTGGTATTTTAATGGAGATTGCATGGAATCTATAGATTGCTTGGGGTAATATAGACATTTTAATGATGTTGATTCTACCAATCCATGAACATGGTATATTCTTCCATTTGTTTATGTCTTCCTCTATCTCTTTTTAAAGTGTCCTGTAATTTTCTGAGTACAGGCCCTTTACCTCCTTGGTTAAATTTATTCCTAGGTATCTTAATTTTTTGTTGTAATTGTAAATGGGATTGTTTTTTTAGTTTCTCTTTCTTTGAGTTCATTATTGGTGTATAAAAAAGCCATAGATTTCTGGGTGTTCCTGCTACATTGCCGAATTCATTTATTAAGTCTAGTAGTTTTTTGATAGAGCCTTTATGGTTTTTGATGTACAATATCATGCCATCTGCGAATAATGACAATCTTACTTCTTCGTTTCCAATTTGGATGCCTTTTATTTCTTCTTCTTTCTGATCGCTATGGCTAGTGCTTCTAGTACCTTGTCAAACAGAAGTTGTGAAAGAGGACATCCCTGTCTTGTTACTGTTCTTAGGAGAAATATTTTTAGTTTTTGCCCATTGAGTATGATGTTGGCTGTAGGTTTGTCGTATAAGGCTTTTATTATGTTGAGGTATGATCCCTCTTTTCCCACTTTGCTGAGAGTTTTTATCAGAAAAGGGTGTTGGATTTTGTCAAATGCCTTTTCTGCATCAATTGATATGATTATGTGATTTTTGTCTTTCAGTTGTTTATGTGATGTATCACGTTTATTGATTGGCGAATATTGTACCAGCCTTGCATCCCTGGTATAAATCCCACTTGGTCATCGTGTATGATCTTTCTAATGCAATGCTGGATCCGGTTTGCTAGAATTTTGTTGAGGGATCTTGGCATCTATGTTCATCAGGGATATTGGCCTGTAATTCTCTTTCTTTGTAATGTCTTTATCTAGTTTGGGGGTTAGGGCAGGGGTGGGCAAACTTTTTGACTCGAGGGCCACAATGGGTTCTTAAACTGGACCGGAGGGCCGGAACAAAAGCATGGATGGAGTGTTTGTGTGAACTAATATAAATTCAAAGTAAACATCATTACATAAAAGGTTACGGTCTTTTTTTTTTTTTTAGTTTTATTCATTTCAAACGGGCCGGATCCAGCCCGCGGGCCGTAGTTTGCCCACGGCTGGGTTAGGGTAATGCTGGCTTCATAGAAAGAGCTTGGAATTGTGCCTTCCTTTTGAATATTTTGGAATAGATGGAGATGGATAGGTTTTAGTTCTTCTTTGAATGTATGGTAAAACGCCCCTGTGAAGCCATCCAGTCCAGGACTTTTGTGATTACTGTTTCAATTTCATCCGTGGTTATCAGCCTATTCAGGTTTTTTTATTCTTTCTGATTGAGTTTTGAAAGGTTGTATTTTTCTAGGAATATGTCCATTTCATTGAGGTTGTCCAGTTTGTTGGAATAGAGTTGTTTGTAGTATTTTTTTACAATCCTTTGAATGTCTGTAGGGTCTGTAGGGTCAGTTGTTACTTCACCTCTTTCATTTCTGATTTTGTTTATTTGGGTCCTCTCTCTTTGCTTCTTGGTGAGTCTGGCTAGAGGTTCATCAACCTTCTTTATCCTTTCAAAGAACCAGCTCTTGGTTTCACTGATCTTTTGTATTGTTTTGTGTTTTTTTATCTCTATGTCATTTATTTCTCCTCTGATCTTTATTATTTCCTTCCTTCTGGTTACTCTGGGCTTTCCTTGTTGCTTTCTTGCTAATTCTTTAAGTTGCAAGGTTAAATAATTTATTACCATTTTTTCTTCTTCTTCTTCTTTTTTTTTTTTTTTTTTTTTTTTTTACAGGTAGGCCTGTAGAACTATGAACTTCCCTCTCAGAACTGCTTTCATTGTATCCATAGATTTTGGGTTGTTGTGTTTTCATTGTCATTTGTTTCCAAGATGGTTTTTTATTTCTTCTTTGATCTCTTTTGTAGCCCAATCATTGTTTAATAGCATGCTATTTAGCCTCCAAGTGTTTTATTTTTTCTTCATTGTTTTTATTGTAGTTGATTTCTAATTTTATGCCATTGTGATCTGAGAAGATGCTTGTTATGATTTCTGTCTTCTTGA